TCATTCTAGCCTCGTTCTTTAAACTCAACCTACTGAAACACATTTTATAAACTGACCAAAACACTCTGGGCATTTTATACAATGCCCGAATATATACATTATTTGTAATGTATATATATATTAAACTTCTTGACCTCAACCTGGCCCAATTTGAATCCTCTTAGCAACAACTACCTCTATTCTTTTTTTGGACGCTACGAAATCAATTTTGAAAGTGGTTTTAAACTTCTGGGTCAGAATTACGTAGACATATATATATATATACGGGCATACTTATTTACTTACGTTCGTACTAATGCATAAATAATATATATATAAAAAAAAAAAATATACACGTTAGGAGAATTTGAGCATTAAGGTGTCATAAGACATATATAAATTTTATGAATGCACAGATAATTTATTCGCTAATGTTAGAACGTTAGCATAAATAATGCAATGTTACCATGTAAATGTGGTAATAACAAAATGACAGTGTGTAACCACTAGAAATAATTACGTAGACTATTACTGCATGCATAATATCATATACTGAATTATTAACGTATAATTATTCATTAATCGTCAAATTCTTCCAACATTTTTTACTCAGAGAAAATTCTAACCTAAAAGACATAGATAAACTTTGGATAAAAATACCTTTTTAGGTTAATTCCTTCTTTTTTTTTTTTTTTTGGATTGTATAACACAGCATGTAATTTTAATTTAATTAATCATGTAACTAGGAAAGAATGAAAATATATCTGAATAAGGAGTAATTAATTTTAAAAATCATGTCAAAACATTTTGAATATCCTATACTTATTCGTAATTTATTAAATAACATGATAAATGGAAAAATTAAAAAAAAAAAAAGAAAAGAAGAATACAATCTTAAAATTCTCTATTTTATTGATATCGATTAATTATTCTAAAGTCGACCCAAAAATTATTATAAAGTTAACAAAAAAAAAAAAAAAGATCTCTTTGCATGTACCAGAAAAGCACTCGCTTGACTCGAGTAGCAAGCTCAGTGCTTTTTCCGTCTTGAGAGTAGCTAGCAGACTAGTAGTGGTTCTTCGAGAAGATTTACTTTAAGGTCGAGACACCAAACGTGCAAATGTAAGGAAAAAAATAAAAAGAGGCTCTTTCGATATTAACGATCGTATAAAACCCGACACAATACGTTTCATATTATTCTCAATAAAAAAAAAAAAAAAGAAAAGAAAAATAAACAAGTGTTTTATGACTGTAAAAAAAAAAAACGTCTTCTTTCATCGTATGGATGAAAGAAAAAAAAAATTACATTACAACACTTTTATTAATTGAATAATCAAAGATACGAGTTAAAAAATAAAGATTGAAATGTATTGGAAATATAAAAAAAAAAAAAAAAAGAAAGAAATAAGAATCTCATACTTTTGTAATGTATTTACAATTGTTTACGATATATTATTCCTAATTATATATGAATAAAAATATATGCTTTGTTTTTTTAAAATCGAAACAGATGGTTCAACAATATCAAGAATTTCTGTGAGAATCTGGGACAGTTTGATCGATAAAAGCATAAACGTTGCCGCAAGGTTTCCTTAGCTGGTATTATTAATATTTTTCCAGCCTACGGGTACAAAGTAAATTTTTAGTTATCATACCCTACGGGTTGGTTTTCCATGAAATCGAAAATATAAGATATCTACGTGAGGTATATATGTACATTAAGATAGTTGTTATTTTATATCCGGTGTGAGTGCATTTGTTTTTTTTTTCTTTTTTTTTTAATTTAACTATAAATAAACAAAACGAAAAGTATTTTCTAATTTTATTATTTGATCCTAATATTAAATTATATTATAATCACTCTAATTATATATATAATATATAATATATACAATATATAATATAAAATATATTAAAAATTTTAATATTAATAATTATTATATATTTCTATATTTTATATATATATAATACACATATATAATATAATATATTATAACCACAATATAAAAGCTTTGAGACAAAACCAAGTTTTACATCAATTAAAAAAAAATGACTACACTGTATCTTTAAATTTGATAAATGCAACAATAAATTGAAAACAAAAATAATTTTGAAATATATATCATATTTTTGAACACAACGAGAATATAATATACTTATTGTTAGATATAGTTATCTGAAAACTATATTGCAATTTTGGGAGGCGCATGGGCAAGTTTGCTCCGCCTATCCCCACTTATGATATTCTCAAAGTCCACACAGAGTAGGATCTTTCTTTGTGACCTAGTCATATGATTTCAAATTTACGATGAACGAATTTATATTTCATAATCAATTATAGATAATAAAAAATGAAAACATTTAAACACTCTATCCTTCTTTGTTTCAACTTGTCCCTGGTTTTCTTTCCTTGTCACGCATATGTTTAATAAATAATATTAACCTTTCTACCAATGAGAAAACAAGGAGGAAAATACGTATGAATATTAAAATTATACAAACAAAAGTGGGGGCGTTGCTACCTAAAACTTCAACCAATGAAATTCAATTGCAAACAAATTTTCAAACTACTATAGACATTTAACAACTCATCAATAAAAATGGAAAAAAAACTATACCTCCTAGTTTTGCATTGTTTTTGGATTTATGAAAATAAACAAAATAAATATAAAAGAAAATTAAGAACAAGAAATCATGAATTAATCAAAATTGTATAATTAAAAAAAATAATCATTTATGTGTTAGAGAGATGAGCTGCTTATCATACTAGTGCGTGTACATATATATATAGTTACAAACATATATTCGAAGGAATATATCGTTGTAATGAACTAGTAGCAAAATGACCACAGGAATGTATCGCATCGCATAAAATAAGGATTACAACATCAACTGCACCAACGCAGCTCATTATTTTTTTACATAGACGAGTCATCTCTTACTTACACGAAGATACAAATGCACGTGAAAAACATTTATCTATCACAGAATTCTTTTTCTTATTTTTCTCTAACATAATAAAAAAAAAAAAAAAGAAAAAATAACAAAACAGAATATGAAATTATCAATTGATAGATCTATTATTTAAATGAATTGTAATTAATAAGAAATCATTGTAATATTAATGAAACAAATTATTATCATTTAACCGCTACTTTCAATTTCTCGACATGTTTACCTTCGACAAAAACATAAAAAGAAAAAGAAAACAAACACTAAATATTTTAAAAAGAAGATTATTACCTTGACACCGATATTTAACAACCAAATATGCCAACCTATTGTCTAACACATAGTCGACTTTTATTCTGTGACATTAGACCATATTGCTGTTGCTTGTCAAGGTCATGGAACGTCTGCAGCGTCCATACCGATGATGCAACATTGTATTATACTGCATCGACACACAGGATCGATAACATACGATATAATATATTAGGACCTTTCTATGTTCTTTTACTAATAAAATTATCTTAACTACTAAATAAAATAAACTATGTGAAATAGAAGCTTATAATACATGTGTGTATATATATATATATATACATATACGGTTCAAAAAAGTTCCTAGACAATTTTATGAATCAATTATTTTTTTCTTTTGATTATAGTTAAGATTATAATTTTACAAACAATGCTTGCAGTTTTACAATCTAAAAATATAATTAATCTAACAAAATTTTTTTAAAAATAATTTATTCGTAAAATCACTTTAAAAACTTTAGGGTCACTTTCTATATATATATATATATATATTTTAATGACTAAGTATTTATGTATCAGTCTTAGTAAATATATATATATATATATATATATATATATATATATTGTATGTAATTCAAAGTGTATTTTACATTTTTGTGTGTCGCATATAAATCGGCTTTAAATGGAATGAATAGCGCGCGGTTGGAGGGGTGATGGGTACATGCGCGCGCATATCCTTTTTAGTTGGAATCTAATATGAAACCTTACTAATCGTAAGAGCCAGGTCTTCTTTCAATGTTACGTTTTAAACATTACTCAAAATTCGTCTAATCTAACAGCAATCCTATTTGTAAAAGTATAATGAAATTATTTACATTACAAAATTTTCAAAGAAAATCGGATAGTTACTAGTTAGTTACTAGTTAACTAACTAGTTAGTTAATTATATACATAGATATACACACATTGTCCTTCTATCTATTTAAAGTTAATTTTGCTACACATCGTTAAAATTAAATGGCATATATATTTAACAATTTCTAATTGATTAAATACCAATTGATATCACAGCTAACTTATAAATAAAAATAAAAATAAAAAATAAAAAATAAAATAAAATTTAAAAATTGTTTATGATCGTTGTACATATAGTAATTTTTTAATTTATTCATTAATATTATAAGAAACATATTAATTTAAAACTCTATATGTTAGGATTAAAATTAATACAAAATATTTGTTTTGTACAACGATGTTGTGTATTTCAATAATTTTTAAGTGTCAAAAATTTAATTTTTTTTGACTTCAATAAATTTTACGTCTAATAATAGATATTACATCAAAGAACCATTCAAATTTTCGTCTAACATCATTAATACTTCCAAAATATAACCAAATAAATATATCTCGTGCTATTTAAAAAAATACATTAGACATAACAGTTTTATGTAATATATAACATTTTATTCGATATTACGAAATAACTTCGATATCTCATATTATTCAGCGCATTGAATTAGCTCGAAAGATAAGAGAACTATCTATTTTCAATTATACAATTAAAACGCTTAACGCATACATAATTTATCGAATTCTAAAAAAAAAATTTGCTTTTTAATCGAGCTAACACTTGAAGTTTGTACTGAATAAATACATTTACGAGTAGAAAAAAAATAAGAGAAAAATGTCGCTGTTGGTGTATCCGAAAATCGGTGAATATTTAGAAATAAATTGTAACGATAAAATAAATAAACAATATATATTTATAAAAAATGATTTGAATAAAATATAAAAAAGAGGAGTTTAGATCGACTTACCGTAGTGCATTTCCCGTAATCAAATGTTCAGGATCTGTCGTCCTGGATTATGTCCCGACTTTTTCAGCAAAGATAATTATTGTCTGTCACCGACACGAGATGCACAAAGATGAAATGTCATTAACACGTAAAAGTTTTTTTTCGTTGATAATTTTATATCGTTGATGCAATGTGTCGTATTAACGGTGAACGAAAAAAAGAAAAAAAAAACAAATAGGTAAAAGAGAAAGAGAAGAATTTGCAAAACACAGCACGAGTCGCGACGACACACACATAAAGACCGCACCTTCGAAGCTCGTAGCAGCGACTGGCTCACTCGTGCAGCTAACTTTCGTGTAAGGAGGTAGCGCGCAAGCTGATTGGTTGACGTCACCGCAAACGACCAATCACGATCGATCGTATACGGTACGTTGACCCCACCAATAAACCCGGCGTTTCTATTTCACGACATGAAATCGAAGTATAAAACTTACGCGTATACCATCCTACGAACTATTTGAAAATAAACTAAGGAAACGAAAAATAAATATCAATTCTTCTCTATTCCGACTACTATTAACACTCTCAGCTACACTGCACGTTATGCATTTTTTCCTCCTCGTATTTCTATCTCTCTTTTTCTCACAAACCCGAACGGAGCTTTCTGCTACACGAATAAATCGATGAAATGCGCATGCGCCCACGTGGGTTGTCATGGAAACGAGAAAGTATAAGAGATTACGCATGCGCTTTCTATTAAAAAATTTTATACGCGGCAAAATATAAACGAATATTTTGACGAACATATATATATATACATAAAATATGCTTTATGAATTTGTATACCATCGTATGTCATTATTTAAAGATCACGAAACCAATATCACATCTAATTTATCTAATAAATATTCTGATATTTTTAAACTTCTAGTCACTACGTTAATTGATTGTAGTACATATTGATACTATAAGCATATGTATAAAACTTTTAAACTCACCTGACACACACAAAATTCTAAATGCAGTACAAATTGTAGCGAGTGCTTCTGAAAATATAATATATTATCACGTTCGTAGAACCCTCGAATTTGTTTCGCATTGTTTGTCTTGATAATACAGTTGAACAGGCCAAATTGTTTCTTTCTAAAATTCTTGATGCATAAAGAGTTAAGTAATGCACCATTCTGATATCTTTTGATTTCATAAGACGTATCATATGATTCGTAAACGCATAAAATATCACGCAAGATTCTAACTATTTTGTTTAAGATCGACATAACGGTCAATGTTAAAACATTTTTGTATGACCAACGTAATTTCTTCCATTTTATTTGTGTACTTTAGGATGTTTTTACTCAATAATCTATTAATGTAAAATAAGCATTTTATCCTAGAGAGATAAACGGTTAATACTAACAAAAAATTGATATCACTTGAATTTAGGGCCAAATATACAAAATTATTTGTTACGATAAAAAATCGATCTCATAGTTACTTTTTTGTATTCTAAAGAATAATCAAATAGTCTTTATCTAATAATTGATTGAAAATTCATTTATCGTTGACTAGTATATGATACAAAAACTTTTTTTTTATATTCAATACAATTTATAGTTTGATGTAAAATCGTTTGCTTATATTATTATAATAATTGGTTATCCACATTTTGCTATTCGAATATATCACATATTAAAATTAAATTGTAAACAAAATTATATTTATTATGTTTATATTGAAAGTTTAAATAATCAAAATTTATCGATTAATTGCAATATGTGTTGCTGCTCTGCTTCCCTCCATTCCGAGTCTCCATCATCTCCAAGGTTTCCAGCGTACTCTATATAATCATAAAAACATATGTTTATTATTAATAAGGAATAAGTGCCTTTCTTAAATATTTTTATAAAATTTTATATTTATACTTTTACCTCTCATAATATGTCTGATAGTCTTAAGAGATGCTCGTCTTTGAGCTAAAATTCTTGTAACTCTTTGTTTGACTGCAGGAGGACAACCAGTACAAGCTTCTAAAAGAACATAATCTACCAGTTGTAATATAAATAATCCTCCATTTAATCTTCTAAGATAAGATTCTTCTTCGTCTTCATCATCCTAAATTTTAAAATGATAATATAATTAATTAATTTCACATTATAACAATCAACCTTAATGTAAAATTTAGATTTGATTATATTATTAACCTTAGCAGTTTTTTCAACTTCTTCCACTTTCTCTAAATATTTAAAATGTAATTCCATTAATCTATCCACTTTTTCATAATCATTTTCTGTAAATTTACTAAGCAGTCTCTGACGTTGTTGTCCTTTACAGTTTCTTAACATACTTGCTATTATCGATAATACATGTTCTGTAAAAAATGATTTTTAATTTTATACAAAAACAAATCTTTTGTAGAAAATTAATCAATCTTATAATTTGTTACCTTCATGTTCTTCTGCTGTAAGCATTCGTTTCCTATTTTTAGTTGGAGTTTTCATAAAAAGGGGGAAAATTGTTCTAAGTCCAAGTATATCAACAAATTTGCTACAATTATCTTTACCGTCAGATCCACTCATAGCATGATCTAAGACCTACAATATTTTCATTTACTATGCTTTATCTTATAAAAAAGAATTAAAAAAAGAAAATAAACATACCTTAAGAGAACCATTACGTGACATTTTTTTCTCTCGCAACATTAAATTCATTAACTGTAATCCTTCACCGCGTAAAAATCTATCTCTATTTACAGTAGCCATTAAACTCGAACATAAGACATTAAATAAATTTTCCATCATTTCTTGTTCTTCAGCAGTTTGAGGATCATGTCTTTTGTAATACTGTCAATAATAAACAATAATAGAATAAGAAGACAATATTAAATAAAGTCTTAATAAATATAAACAACAGAAATATATAATAAATACAAAATAGAACATACAGCTAACTGTTGTAACAATACATCAATACCATCAAGATCACCCAAAAGCAGCCTGTTATCAGGTGTGTTTTGTACAAGAATTGATAAAAGTTCACTGGCATAAAGTTTATTTCCATCAAACGGCATTTTTGCTTTAATTCTACGCAGTAGCCATTGCATTAAACCTTGTTTTCCAGCATCGATACATAATTCTGGTCTAAATTCTAATAAGTTTTCAAATATGGCTGTAATAAAAATAATAGATATAATATAATTATACAAACATATTCTAAATGCATACAAAATAATACATACCAAGTGTATTATGTACCCCATCGCTTTCTTCTTTTACATTTTCATCTAACCTTTCTAAATTCTGTACTAGAAGAGCACTAACTTGCTGTTCCAATAAAGCATCTATAAGAGTATCTGCTCCTTCTTGACTCTCATGTAAAATATCAACGTCTGTAAGTTCTTGCAAAAGATCTACTATGCCAACTGCTATATCTGTATTTTCATGAGATAATAATTCAAGTAACGATGGCACAGCACCAAGTTCTACCATTAATGGATAAAGATCTGGATTCGTCGCAACAACGTGTAATTCTTGAAGAGTTTCATGCAATTCCACTTCGGACTCTATAAACCTATATAATTGCATTGTAAACCAGGTATAAATCTAAAAGTTCAATTCAAATATATTTAACTTACTTTTCTGGCTGATCTGGAAATTTAACTCTCATTTCTTGATTTCTAAGAGCTCGTTTTTCAAATAATAATACCATTCTTTTTAACGTAGCTTCATCCAATGCTTCTACTTCAGGTGCTTCAGTTTCTACGAATTTTAAAATATCTTGTTTTTCTTTTTCCGTTAACTGTGGTTCAATCATATCATTTGCAGGTGAAGGTAACGCAGCCCTTATTGGAGTTGGAGGTTCATTATTTCTTATTGGAGTAACATCAGTTTCTCTTATTTGTCTTTGACGTGCGTGGTAAGGTGTTTTAATAACTTTCTTCGGTTTCCTAGAACTCTCCCATTCTTCATCGTCATCTTCATCTCCAATTGCTGGACGCTTTGGTGTATTAGGAGGCTAGATAAATAATATTCATGTATTAATATAAACAGAACATTTTATAAACAAATCAAATTATGAAGAGAATACATTCAAGTAAATTATAGTGACAACTTTTTTAAGAGGTTATATTAATCACTAATAATGTAATTGAATATACAATGTTATTATATTTATATTTTTTATGTAACATATATGTAATTTATAGAAATTACCTTATAAGATAATAATTCACCAATATCCATATCAAAAATATGCACTAAAATGATTTACTTTATTTACATTTAGCACAATGTCGCACCAATAAGCATCATTAATTATAATAACAAGATGGCGCTGTAAACTTTCATTCTCACGTAGACAAACAATATGATTATTAAATAAATGTTAGATAAATTATATCATTTGAAAATCAAATAACTAATAGAAAACAAATAATTACAATTAACATTGTGATCATTGGAATTATTTTAATTTATTATTGATGATTTCAAATTTATCTATGATTGCAATTTGTAATATGTATGGCATAACAAAGATGTCGCTTTTTTTCTACTTGTATTTATTTAATGCATTTTTATAAGTACACGTCACAAATTTACCCTGCAATTTCTATTGCAATTTAGTTATACAAAAGAATATTGTAATAAGTTTATATGAAATATGGAAACGTTATATCATCAAACAAATATATTGGTTCAAGAAACGCAACATCTTTTTACACAGTTGGAAAAAAAGTCATTTAAGAAAGAGGATTTAAAAGAAATAGAAAAAACCATAGAATCCAAAATCAGCCTCATCAACAGGTAGTCAAGACAACAATTTTATTGTTACTATTACCAATTCTTTTTAAAGTAATAATTTATAAATCTTTTATTAAACTTCATTTTTAATATATACTTTCAGTAACTGTGAACGACTTGACGTGCTTTGCTTAAAAGGATCCATTTCTTCTGTTTCACCTTTCAAAAGACAAAATGCTAAAATGAGAGTTGATCAACTGAAATATGACAGTCGTCATTTAAGTGCCGCTTTGAATACTTGGAGAAACCAATTAATTAAAAAGGAAAGAGAAGAAGCAGAACGCGAAGCATTGTTGTCGCAAACATTTACTGCAAATGATCACGTTGATATTATGATAGACCATAATATGCAACATAATTATAGTTTACGAAATGCAGTAAATGGTGTAGATGATCTTATTTCACATGGAACAGGAATCTTAGATAGTTTAAGATCACAAAGAATTACTTTAAAAGGGGCTCACAAACGTTTGATAGATATTGGTAATACTTTAGGTCTTTCAAATACAACTATGAGGCTTATAGAAAATAGAGCTCGTCAAGATGGATTTATTTTAGTCGGTGGTATGTTGTTTACATGCATAGTAATAATCCTAGTCATTATATATCTTGTTTAATGAGAGAGAGATAAGTAAGCAAAATGATAAACATTTAGATTTATATATTCTACACTTGACACACTCCAACAAATATATTTAATTTATCTTATCCAGAGAATTAAGATTTTAACTTTTATTTTGTCTATGAATTGTTCAAATTATTAAGAAAATTTTAATATAAATATTTGTATATATTGAAATAAATAAAAAAACGAATCTAAAGATTAACTTAAATTTAATTAAATTAAAAAGATGTAAAGAGAGTATAATTATAAACTAAAAGATCAACACTCTATAATGAATTTTCAATGTCAGCAATCATTATTTAATTCCAAGTTTAATGTTCCATGTAAATCTGCTTTGTGATTCTTAAGGGGCCCTTCCCCCACTTCTAAGGGCTTTACTGGTTTAAGGAGTAGGGAGTGTAAACTTCCAAGTCCCCTTCTCTCAATTCCCCTACCATAATTTTCACTACACACCATTTACAAACGCATCATTTTACGTTGTGACTGTTGACGGAGTTAGTGGTGTTTGATTCTTCTCGAGATTGCTTACATCTACGAAAAGTTCTTTCTTTTTTTACTTCGATTATCCGGCGGCCCTGGATGGGTTTGAATTCAGTCCACGTTTTTTTTATTTTAATCGTGACTAGATCCACACTCATCCAAGGATACCGGGGTTTAAATTCGACCTAATTATTTTTCTCATATCAATTATTCATCAATTAATTCAATTTGTACAAAAGTTATTTATTATATTTTTATTATTTAATATGTAAATTGAATTATATCTGAAGTGTATAAAAAATTACAAGCAACGCATGTATAACTATATACATACTTCGAAATTGATTACGCTTGTTCCTATTATATATAAAAAGAAAAAAAAAATATATATATATATATTTTTAAGCATATAATAAAGAAAAAATTATAAAATATTCAAGCAAAATTTTGTACATTCTTACCAGAAAATCTAACAAATAAACGAAAGATTCTCACAATTTAAGCCGATCGCCGTGGGATTCTTTTTAGTTTCTTTGTGTACGAACACCTGCCGTGTTCCCCTCCAATCTTTTTCCCTTTCCCTTGGAAACATCAATTCTAGCCCCTTCTCATACCGAAATAACGGTAAATACTTGTACATATATATTAAAACTTTATACGATATTTTCTCAAATAAACAATTTAAAGAATGATTATACATACTACTATTTTATTTATGGTTTATATACATAAATTTAATTCAGTGGAAGAAACGAATAATTGATTATTAAATTTTGTTGTGTATACGCATTATTCATAATTCTAAAATAACATTTAAAATATCACAATATTCGTTTATTTCTTAATATGTTTTGTTTTTCTTATTTCCTTTGCATTGGTATGAATATATTTTTCTAATATGAAGACATTTGAAATATAAATGAAATTTACAATATAATTTTCAAATGTATTGTGCTAACACAATTAAAAAAGAAATAAATCACTTCAGTAAAAATGTGAGCTAAGAATCTTAAACTATCCCAATCTGCTGGCATCAAAACTAATAAATGAAAATAACATAATTAGAAGGTTAAAGAAATTAAAACCAAAAGATCTTTGAAATAGATAGAAGAAAGTGTATTGCTAAAATGTTTGTCTATTTATATATTATATAATTTAATTATTTCATATATATATATTATTTTTTTTTTTTTAAATCTTCGCCAAAGATAATATATTATCTTGGATATAATTAAAGTGTAAAAAACATTGATTAAATAAATATAATTATATAATTATATAATAGGAAGTATATGAACATGAATTTTTTGACAAATGTGACAATTACTTATCAGTAAATATTATTATATCAGATAAACTTAAATTTACAAGATGAAGGTAGTTCTTTTATATCCTTTTTTTTAAATGATTATAATTTTTTATCAAGTGCTTTGGGACTCCAAACTTAATTGTGCTATAAGATTATGTTCATCCTGAACATCAAAATCGAAAGACACATCAGGATATTTTCGAATGTCCTCCAATACACGTTTAATTTGTGCATGTAATTGTAAAGCTACTTTTTTCACAGCTAAATGATTATTTTTTATTTGTTTTACACAAGAAAGAGCACCATCCCAAGATGAAGCACTGGTGTGTGCAAGATATAGTTCTTTCCATAATTGAATACTGATAGGTGCAACACTAGGCCAAATAACTCCAGGATTTGGATCGTATAAAGGATTTAACCATTTTTCTAATACTTCTGGTTGATTCATGTAAGACCATAAGCTACAAGTATGCTCAGACAATTCAAGTTGAATCCTTTCTGCTTCTGAATCACCTACAAATAATATATAATTATAATAAATCAAAGTATTTCGTGAGGATTATATAAATTTATTAATAATATACCTAAAAATGTTCCATATTCTGAATAGTAGCTATGTCTATACAACTCTATCAATAAATCAACCCTATATTCGAAACTGAATTGAAATTGATAATAAAGTTGATAAAGACAATCAAGGAAAAGTAAAAATGTTGGAGCATGTGTTAGACTTTGAGAATGAGAAGTGTGATAAGGTCCGTGTCGTGTACGAGTAAAAAACTGATGACCAGCTTGTAACCATTCTCTTTCTATAAGAGCTTGCAGACCACGTACGGTACGACAATCAGGATTTAGTATAGCTTGCGCCAAACTTGTTACAACTAGTGTTGCATCTCTGCCTGCACCTCCTACGATAGACAAAAAATAAATATATATATATATATATATATATATATTTGTGTTATATTAAATATATTTATAATTCCAAATAATACATTTATTTTGCATACCATGTACTAACACAGCTGCAACTTCTTGATGAAGACATTGAGCAGTTACGCAAGCAGCATTTAAAGCACCTTGAATAGCAGTTAACCATCCACTGCTTTCAAGTCTAGACAACCATTGTGATGTAGAACAAGTTACATCATTACAAGCCTCTATTAATTTAAAAAAGCTGTCTGCTAAATCATGAGGCCGTGGCACCACTTTATGTACTTTTCTCCATTGAGGATAAGCAGCATCCATTTCTGTTCCACCACCCTTTGCTCTTGCACTTTGAGCTTGGGTAACAGATCTCGTATCTACTATATACCTGGCAATAAGTTTCCATTCAATCATTCTAAATTGTAATTAAATTATCTGATTCTAATGATTAATATATACCCTCGTCTTCCAGGCCTTAGAACTGCATTTAATAACCTTTCATCTTCTTTACATCTTTTACCAGTAGCACCGCACATTGGCTGACCACTCCTTAATAAAACACTCTATAAAAATAAAATATATTAAATTAATTATTTTAATATTTTTTTAATAATGATCAAAAATATCATCGATTCCATTATTCTTACCCCGCCTTCATGTCTGTAACATAAAACAGGAAATCTACCACCATCTCGAAAACTAGCAGAAGATATTATAACTTTATCTTCTATTTGTCTAGGTACTATAACAGCTGATGGATAAGAGTTACAAACTTTGTAATCCACATTCAAATAACTGATTCTCCATTCATCTGCATATAAAGTCAATAATCTAGACCATTCTGAAACAGGAGCATATGCTGTCCATCCATCTTCTATTTGTACCATATTATTTGTTGCTTTTGGTTTATAGAAAAAGGGATACTGAAGTGTTTGTTCTGTAAAAATATAAAATAAAATATATTATAACAATGAATAAAATGTTATACATTAACAATGATAAATTTACATGTAGCTACCTAGTGATGCTAATCTTTCTATAGACAACATAACACTCATTAAATCATCGGTAGAATTAATATCCAGTTGAAGCACACGAAAATCTTTACATTTTAGTATGATACTTCCACCAGGACTTTGAGTATTTAATTTCTTTTCTATTGCATCGATATTCCTATATATAAGCTAAAAAAAGTAACTAACATTAGTCGTGTTTATAATGCAAATAATATAATACTAATATTTATTGTAATCGATTTAATTTAATATTATAAAAATCTCACCCATAGTTCTTGACCATCGCCTTGTCTTGAAGATAAAATAAGATTGTGGCTACTAATACACAATGTTCCTTCTAAACTTTTATTATTACTATCACTTTTATCAATTAATACAACATTATCGACTTTCGGAATCAAAATTAAATGTCCACATTCCATTTTATATCAACTTTAATGTTTATATTTGTTAACAAATAATCGAAATAGAAAGGAACACTTTGACAGATCAACATAACCTTGTAATGTTATAATACATTGTTATCGATAAAAAATAGACGTATTCGATGAATTCAGATAAGACTTTAAATAAAAAATTGATCGTAATTATTTATATCTTGTTATCATTAATGCATACGCTTTATTTATATATTTTTTCCTAACTTAACAATCTGTTAACTTTATTATTTATTTTATATGTTCTATTTTCTTCGTAGTGGTGACAAGAGTTATCATATGTATATGTGTGTATGTATTATGTCTTACGTACGAAAGCATAGAATAGTCACGTGACAATTCTTTCACTAACCTCACTTGTCACTTGCTATGTTTACTATAGTGTCTTAAATGGCGTACACTATCCAATTAATTCAATAATACTTGTAAGTTAAATTATGTTAAATATACATATATATATATGTACATATATTATATAGGTGTGTGTGTGTAAATATATAAATGTATATATAAATACATATACGTATATATTAACGAATATTTATTCATTTTTTTATTTGGAAGTTATTATGATAAAATATATGTTTCAACAATTGTACAATCAATTACTTCGTACCATTAAATTGTGTTAATTTAAAGAAATCAACGAAGGATAATAATGAGAAAGATAAAGACGAATATATATATACAACGATAGTATCTTCGATAATTACGCGAACACGGTATTATGAATTTTGTATAATTTATTAAATCGATGCGTTGTTGATTTTAAAAAAAACTCTAACCTCAATGTTGACATTTTTATCGAAATATATATTTTTCCTATTTATAATATTTTGAAAGAAACATATTGGTATTGTGGTATTAATAACAATATTTTATATTATTTACAGAATTGACAACTTTCATTATTTGGAAAAATAGTTATGAAGTATGTCTTAACAAAATATCACGTGATCATTATCAACTCAATACATCGTCAAAAGATGGAAGCACTAAAGAGGCAAAGTTGGCATATAGGAAAAGGAAACAGATCTCTGGAGTAAAGTCGTGTGAGTTGGTGTTGTCGCTTTTAATTTACAACTATTCATATTATGTGGTAGGTAATATTTTTAAGAAAATTATAATTATCAATATGAAATTCATCCTTAGATCGACAAGTTGCCATAAAAATTGTCTAGAAAGTATCTGCTTTCTCTACATTTTTTATACCAAAGCACAACTTCTATGAGTATTTTTATACATATACATATAGGTCTGAGATACATATATATATATGTGAATGGGATATATGAGCGATTTGTACATCATACTATATGAATATACTACTTACCATGAAAATATAAATGAAATATGATTAAATTTCATTATTTTAAATGTATAAATATATTTTTTATTTTTAATACAATACAATGTTCAATACTGCTTAAACCACTGATTAAATATGTAGATAATATGCATTATGCAGCTAGTTTATTTTTCTTTTGAAGTATAATACTGTATATATTCCTTCAGTATGATGTTATATATAATACTGTCTGTAAATTAATAATATCTACTTTTCCAAAAATCAATACCATTCCAACTGGTTTGTAGAAATTATCTAATATATATGTAAATGTGTAAAGTATTTGTGTGTATTTATGGATATGATTTAACAATGTCAAATTGCACACATTTTTCTTTTTACATAATTATTTCATTAATTATATTATTTTAATATATCTGTCATTCTTGCGATATTCTGTTGTGTTATATATTATTATTCATCTACTTTAGATATAATTATTATTTTATACAGAATAACTCAGGTTTTAAAAGACAAGCTATATTGTATATTGTATGGGTCTAAATAAAAAAGAAATGTTCTATAAACCTAGGTCATTTAAAGCTTTATCAAAAAAGTTACGACACAAATAAGGATTACATACAGAACATTATTAAATAGCAATCTAAGATGATGTTATTAAAAAACAATATAAAAATCTGTTCATGTAATGAATTGATACAAGAAATTAATGATTCATTTACTGGAATAAAACAAAATAAAAATGAGTTTTAAAGAGTATTTAATTATGTGCTAGATTATTATTTTCAGATAGAGTATTAGTAACTTGTAGAAGTGCTAAAAGTTATATACTTCCTTTGACTTTAGATAGTAAACACTGTTTACATAAACGAATTAAAAGTAAATATTGCTGATCTATTCTTATACAGTATTATAGTAACTTTGTGATAGACTGTTATCTGTTTGTTACTGTTCTCTGTATAATTCTTATTTTTATCGTAACTTTTTAATTAGACTTTTAACGATCACGTTTATAGAATATTTTTTTCTTATTTAGACTCATAGAATGTACTGACAAAGTATAGTCATAAAACCTGGAACACCTTATATATATATATATATATATATATATATATATATATATGAATGGATGTGTAATTATTATTTACAAATTTTTATAACATGTATAAAGTATGTTAATGTTTTTATTATTAAAAATATTTAAAAAAAAAAAGGAAAAAAATAATGAATCTTCATTTACTGTTTCATTTAGAAACTCCAAAAGTAAATATGGATACTTCAACAAAGTTGAATGATGATATTAAATTAGTAGAAGGAAAAAACCAATGTTCAGTTTCGAATGATTCAAAAAATGATTCTTCATTAGAAAATGCTCATCGAGTTGACATTACTAATACTAATCAGAAAGAAAAACAAGATATAGATAAAGTCAATACCATTAATGATGCAGATAATGAAAATAATACAGAAAATATTACTGCAAATACAAGTTGTGTTAAAATAGAAAATGAAAGTGATTCAGAAAATATCATTGAATCGTGTATCGATGTAGAAAATAATATTCAAATAAAAGAAGTAAAAAAGGAAACGAAAAATGAAAATTTAACAGAAGATACGTCATCAAATGCAAATAATGCGAAAGAGAATTGTGAAAAAGATACTACAGAAGATACAACAGAAGAAAAGAGTATTAATAATATCAAAAGAAAGCATGGAAATTTAAGGTAATTTTTACATTATTGTAATTCTTTTTACTATTTATATGTCATTAATTCTAATCAACAATCTAATAAATATATTTACAGTACACAAGAAAGTACATCGTCTTCTGAAGAAAATGGAGTTAGAAATAAACGAAAAAAATTTAAAAATACAAATGATAAATATTGTTGGAGGTGCCACAAAGAATCAACAGAAGCACTTTGTAGTGCTTGTCCTCGATCATGGCATCGTAGATGTTTAGGTGGTACACCACCGACTTCTGTTCACAACTGGATTTGTGGAGAATGTGCTACAATATTGAAAGCAGAAAATGCGGAAACACGTTCTGCAGCAATGGCACAGTTATCAGTTGATCAGTTGTGTATGTTACTTAAACATGTAGTGCAAAGAATGCGTGAATATTCTGGTGTATGTATGAATATAATTTCCCATATATTCTTATTTTACTAAATCATTATCTAAGTTTTATCCTTTATTGTTATTACTTATTCATTTGAAATATTTTCCTTTTTATCAATCAATTAATATATTTTTTTTTTAGTCTGAACCATTTTGGAAACCTGTAGAACTCAATGAAACTCCAAATTATTTGGATTATGTTTTTAAACCAATGGATTTAAATCTTTTAGAATCTAATGTACGTTCAAAACTTTATGGAAGTACTGATGCATTTATGTCTGATGCAAAATGGATACAGCATAATTGTATTGTTTATAATACATGTATGTAAGATGTAGATTATAATTATATATACATTATAATGTTTTAGTGTGATCCTAATAAATATATTCTTTTATAGGTGGTGGACTTTATGCTGATACATCGAAATTAACTAATATTGCAAAACAAATAATAAAAGTGGCACGTCATGAGGTAGCAGAAATCGAGGCCTGTCCAGATTGTTATGCACATTCTCGTAATTTACCAAGGCCACAACCGTCATGGTTTATTGAGCCTTGTCGTCAACCACATCCTCTTGTATGGGCTAAATTAAAAGGTTTTCCTTTCTGGCCTGCTAAAGCTATGCCACGGTTAAATGCTAAAGGTTCTGTAGATGTTCGCTTTTTTGGTGAACATGATCGAGCATGGATACAACCTCGAGATCTTTTTTTATACTCTGAAGATCCACCTGCTCCATTACCTCGCAAAAGAAAAGTAGACATGGATGAATGTGTTAGAGAAATTACTCGACATTGTCGTAAGCTGGAACTTGTATTTGGTAAATTTAAATTTGCACCACCAAAAGTACAATACAATCCACACGATCCAATGCAAATCAAACTTATGCTACCAAATTATGATCCTCTCCAATTAAATAATTGTACATCTTCAGAATTTTTGGTACCTAAAAAGAAGGCTGTTTTTCGAAAACGTAATCTTTCTATCAAGGATAAATCACAAACTGAGACTTCTGCTAATGATAGCAAACTTGATTCTGATACAAATGCTTCTGATGATGAAAATAAATCCCGAAATAAAATACAAAAATTAACCAGATCCAATCAATCTTCTCCAAGTTCAGATAACAGTATTAATTTAGATTTATTACAAAATGAATTGCAAAAAAAAGTGATTAACATTGAAAACAAAACATCTACAGAAGATGTTTCATTAGTAGAAGATAATGAACCTATTAAATCAGATCGAAAAGACATTAATGAAGAAAATAATACAAATACACGTGTACAAAGATCTAATGAATCTAATGTACCATCATTGAGAAACAATTTACATATTACACATGATAATGTAATGTCTACCGATCAAATTTTAAAACCAAACGAATCTTCAAAACTGGAACAAGTATCAAAGAAACATTCCACTGTGAAAGCTATTCCCAACAAAAGTAATACATCTGAAATTTTAAAAATAGCATCAAAGCCAACTAAAAATACGGCTAAAGTTTATAAACCAAAAACGAGATTGGTTGATAAATTAAATGCAGAAAAAGCATTGAAATTTTTATCCGAAAATGAACAAAAAAATAAAATGGGATCACCGAGCATAGAATCAATCGCTCAAGTAACTCGATCATTATCACAAACTGATAAACACGATTTATTGAATAAAACAACAAATGGAACTATCATACCATCCGTTTCTACATTTACTACCATAACACAAAATAACACAAGATCTTCTTCTGTATCAAATTCAACAATAGGTCAAACAACACCTGTAACGTCTAACAAATCAACAGACATTGTACAACAGTCTATATTAGCAGAGGATAATATAACAAATAAAGAAAGTTGTATGACTACGAAATCAGGTTCAAAAGAACAAAAAAGAGAGAGCAAAGCAAGAAAATCTTTTCCTAATAAACCACCTGTTTATCCACAAATAACACTTCATTCATCATCAAATACATTATCTAGTTCAATAGAATCGATAATTTATAATCCATCTCCACAAAAAGAAAATGTTACTGGATATCAATTACTTCCTCCTGAAGCTGGGCCTCTTAGTGCTCGTTTATATCATGGTGCTGAAGAGTTAGCAAAAAGAATGGCTCAATTAATGGAGGAAGCATATCAAGAAGCTGCTCATAACAGTCAAAATTGTGAAGATGATAGTACTGATAAGCATCATGCTACAGTACATTTTTTACGATTACAGATTGAACGAATGAGGTGGCAACATCAACAACAATTGGCTGAACTAAAACATAATACTGGTACTTCATTATTTTTTGTAATATTTTAATATGAGATATGTACATATAATAACATGTAAATTAAAACTTTCAGATCGTATGTTACGAGAAATGAAAGCAAGCCTAGAAGCAGAACAACTTCGAGCTGTTGAAGAAACTCGACGTGAAATGGAACAAGAAAAAATAAGATGTATCGAGGAGACAAAACGTAAACAATGGTGTGCTATGTGTCATCGTGAAGCATTATTTTATTGCTGCTGGAATACAGCTTATTGTGATTATGCGTGTCAACAATCACATTGGACAACCCATATGAGAACGTGTGCTCAAAAACCTTCTTTTACTACAATTGTTACAACTGCATCTGTAGGATCAAGTCAACCACAGGTGATGCCCAAGCTTATGATAAATGTACAACATGCATCATAAAACGTACAGAGGGCATAGAGTCATTGGTGTAAGTCTGTAATGTTGAAGGCCAAAAATACTAAAAAAAAAAAAAGTATTACTTTAAAGATACTTTATATAATAATATTTGCTTTTTACAGTAACAGATTTCTATTCATATATTTCAACACTGGCTTAACGCGTATCAATATGATAAAATGGAATTATTAATGTAGACAACATACTTAATAATTCAATGAAGAGAAAAAAAAAAAGTAAAGTGTATTTTTTACCAAGGTATCACCTAATTCACAATAAGTTATTATATAGTATATTCATTTTAAAAAAATGAATGAATTATAATTTTATTGTAATTTGTTGAAAATACTTTGATAATTTAACAAATCAACCATATGCAAGGCTTACAACATATGCTCTGAACTCTCAAAAGTTTGAAGTGTCATCATTTTGAAATATTATCCTTGCAATATTATTATTATTATTTTATTAAATTTTCTTTTTACTATTTTCAGACTAATAATACGAAAGTATGTACTCCTGCGTGTAGAGTATATTCTTTACCACGTAATAAATCACCTGGATTATCAAAATCTCATTACGTTTCGTGTTCTAAAAATGAAAATAATTAAGGTCTTTTATTAAAATAGATATTAGGTTGAAACTATTTGCAATCAATAATATAGTTCACGACACATTGTGTAAGTTGATTTTAAATAATTTTGTCTACATAAATCTTGTCAATTACGTATTAATATTAGCTATTAGAATAGGATATTTACAGACGTTAAATATTTTATTGTATATTCATGATGCATTCAGTAAAATATCTTAAAATTGAAAATAAAAGTAATTTTATAAAAATGTGTATGTATGTAAATATTAATGATTAAGCAAGTATATTATATAAAAATAAATTAAATACGTAAAAACTTTATATTGCTGTAAAGATAAATTTAAAAATTAAATAAAATCGGAATAAACATATTACTATAAAGATCATGTACAGGATACATTTTTTTGAATAGTATAAGCAATCATAAACTTTATCTCTTGAAAAATAAAATAATGTAGTAAATAAAAATTATTATTTCAAATTATTTCAAATATTATATGAAAGAATAACATTTAGTATCATACAAAAGAAAAAACAATTCGGATAAAAATAAAATAATTTTACACATTTTTTCATTGGAAGATTACTTTATTTAAAAATCAACATTTTTATTTTGCTTTCTTACTCTTAATTTTTCTCAGGTAGAACTCTAGTTCTTTACCTTCGAGAATGTAACCGTCAGCTCTTCCACACTGTCCAGGTCGACTGGATATGCAAGCTACAATTAAAATTAATACAATTTAAGTGCTTATAATATAAAAATATATGTAATTATAATGTGATCAAAAATTATTATAGATATAATACCGAGTACTCGTCCCGTTGAAAACTGTTCTTCCAAGGCAGGTTCTACTTTAGCAAATCGTTGCCTTGCTTTGTATTTYGCTTCAGTTTTTTTCGAGTGTTTTTTATTCAACACTTCTTCCTCAGCTTCCGTCTGAAATGTTTTATTTTATTCTATTAATGATAATCAGAATCAGAAATACATTTGTAAATCAAATACAAAAGTTTATTTACCAATTTGGCACCACGTTTTCGTCCCAATGGAAGTGCATAATGGCTTTCATACCATTGTCTGAAGGGTGTTGCATCGATTGTTACTATAGCATTTTTGACGAGTGTTTTCGTACGAACTAATTCATTGTTTGATGCATTGTACACWACATCAATAACTCTGGTCTTCCTAGCGGTGCATTCKGATCCCCATGAAAAGTTTCCAGTATCCAAACGAAGTGCTCTGTATTTTTTATTACCACCACGTGTTCGTACCTTGATGTAAAAACAAAACAAAAAGCTTTAATTATCTCATTACAAATAAGWGGAATAWAATTRTATTAGCTGTACATAACTCAGTACGCTGTGGGAAAATGTCAACACATATCTCAGAGTAGGTAAGGTGATCATCATTTCTCATAATAAATAAATAAATATGTAATTTAAAGTAACACATTTTTAGAAAWGTGATGTCTAATATACAAATCATATCTTTGTATCCAAAYTTACYGTATGAATACGTTGAGGTCCAAGTTTWGTATTWGCAGCTGGACGTCCTAACTCAAACTTCCTCTTCTTCCTGAGAGGYTTRCGCTTYCCACCRGTAGCTCTCCTCTTATGCCAATGGTCTCGGGAGATACCTATTTATTAAAAGTTTTCAACATTAATTCCACTTTATCATATGCAACATTTCTCATTACAGTCTTAATTACTCAAATTTATACTATTTAAAATGTTGCTTGTAATTGATTGACAAATATATTAGCGAATGAGACAAGTAATATGTTAACTAATTATATTTATTTATATTTTTATACACTATAATATATTGTATATACAAAAACTTTAGAAGCTAATTCTAACCTCAAAAACCTAATGTAGTTTTAAAAACTTTTCAAACAAATGTTGGAATAATATATTAACGAATACCTAAATTAATATATTATTTACAAATTTTTCATATCCTGGAGTCATATTTTTTATGTAAAGTACAGATGTAACTCGATAAAGATAAATTTTAATAAAACCGAACAACTCACCCATGGTAGCAAATAGTAAAAGACATTCACTCTTCGATGGTTTCTGGTCTTCCGTTTCAATCCATTGAAATTATACTGTAATAGCAGATGGCGCGATAATCGTCAAATGACATAGCCAATCAAAATGATCGATTTTTTTATAACTGCGTGTTCATTTGTTGTATTCAGAATTACGTACATAATTGATTTAATAACAAACCTAAAATTATCTACGTTTAATTATTAACACAATAACTTTTTAGAAAATATTACTCATTTTAACTGGGCATGGTAGGAAGAGTAGATATACAAGAATTCATTTTTGTATTGTAAACCACGTTTGACAAATCGATTGTTTGCTACAGTTCTTTTCATTCGTAATCTTGTAAAAAATTGACTAGTGGTAATAAGTTCTTAAGGGGGTCATCCCATGTGATGGGCTCAAAAAATCGATTTTTTTTTTTTTATAAATTGCTTTCTTAACATGTCTAGAATACGGTAGTAAAGTGATTTTTGAAAATTTGAAGTCGTTTTAAAGATACAGCAGGTAGAAGAAAGAGCTGTTCGGAGCGCTATGTTGGCAGTTGGGGTCCGGGCCTATTGTGTACCGTCGATTTTATACCTGGCCCCCCTTTTATACATATATACATTTATACAAGCTTAGACAAGTTTCTGCAGGCTTAAACAGAAATTTCTATTTGATTGGACTTTTGCTCCTAAGCATCTTCATTCTGGCCCCAAGATTGTTGAAATTGCTAGCTACTTATCAGTTATCATCTTTAATGAAGGTTTTGAAGGTGTTTTAAAAGTAATGTCGGTTATGGGATGCCCCATTGGCCGCGAAGCCCATACGTATGTTGAGAAACGTGATGAAAAGCGAATCTCACGTTCTCAACGACGCGTAAGTGATGTCGTTAAACAAGCCAGGATTGACTCAAGAGCTGAACAATCTGCTTTAAAAGAGTTTCAAGAGGAAGAGGAAGGAATACTCTATGGACCAGGCATCGCCGATTGAGGTTAAGTTAAGATTTTCATAGTTTTAAATGGACTTGAAATTTTAAACGAGTTTTTCTCAAACTGTGTTTTTCAAACTTTCCTCCATCGTATCTCAAAAACGGCTTGACCGAATGACTTAAAATTTATAGGGCACACTCAACACATGTAAACGTATGGAATGAACTACTATCAATCGAAAATTTCAAAAATTTCGTTTTTTTTATAGCAAAAAACAAAAAATACGCAAAATTCGCAACTTTTATTTCAAATGTCTACCAAAAATCCAATTTTTTGTATATTCATTTGATAATAGTCCATTCCGTGCATTTAGGCTTACAGAACGCTGTTTTTTTTTCGTTTCAGATAAGCCAATCAGCCGGAATCGTGGAGGAAGTGCGAGCTCATTTTTTCGAGGCGGAGGTGTTCAGAAYGCTGTAACTCAAGTTCTACACAATATTTTTAGCTTAAAATTTATATTTATACTGTCGAAATATAGGTTAATAAATGATAACAAACTTAAAGCTCTATTTATTTACTGGTCGTAGAAAAAAAATCCTAAAAAATCCCTAAAAAACAGGCCGTCACATGGGATGACCCCCTTAAACGAATTTATTCTTGTATAAAATACATCTGTGCTTTTTATAATATTTTAATTATAAAATGTACAAAATAAACTGACAAATATCAAAGAGTATTTATCAAAATGTTTTGTGTAATTTTCTATCTTAGCAGTGAGTCAAATTATCGTTTATTTTTCGAACGAACTCATACCTCTGCCAGATAAAATTCATTTTATTTTACTAATACATATTTTTCTCCTAAAACTTAGTCGAAAAGACATTTTTTATTTACAAAAATATCTTTTCCTAAAGTTTTTCCAGAAAATCAACAAATGATTATTCATTCAACTTGGCTAGATGTTTATAAAAAAAACTGATTTACTTCACAAATCATGTAGTGCATTTTATAGTTCGAAAATTACTTTATTTAAAAACTAACATTTTTATTTTGCTTTCTTGCTCTTAATTTTTCTCAGGTAGAACTCTAGTTCTTTACCTTCGAGAATGTAACCGTCAGCTCTTCCACACTGTCCAGGTCGACTGGATATGCAAGC